GAGTGGGGAAACGTGAAAATGGGAAATTTCGAGAGGAAGAAGAGAAAAGTGATTCAGAGATGTAAGAGTGACAGACAGACAGACAGACGGACAGACAGACAGACAGACAGACAGAAAGGTAGAGACAAGGTAAGATGAGCAATGTTGAAATGGTTGAATTGGACATACAGTGGGTTCTTGGTAGTAAGAAGTGAGAAGTCAACTGCCGGTTTATAGACTTTTATGCCGTATGAGCATACGTTGCTTAGGGTGCACCACGTGGAGGTAAGTCTATTGCACACCCCTTCGTGTCCTAACTCTACTCCACTCTACTCTACTCAACTCTAATCTACTCTTCTCCATTCTAAATGGATGATTCGTGGCGCACAAATGAAAGATTTTTAGTATACTCTTCATTGTCCACAATCTTGCTATTGAGAAGTTGTAAGTAGTATTTTTAGATTGGAGTGAGGATACGGGGTGGAGGGTTGGGGAGGCCAGAAGTAAAGTTGGAATTTCGGTGTTCTTCGTGAATGAGAGCTCAGCATCCCACCAAAACGCAAATATCTGCTGTTTGGAAGTTTCAGATGGTAATAATGCTCAAATTAGAATGGTTCAACTATCTTAATTGTGCTTAAACAAAACAAAAAATGAGCTAGTGTTGGTTGCATTGAATATACAGATGGGGCCGTCTGAGGTTGAACAATTGGAAATGCAATAGAAATGCAGACAATCAAATGTTTTCAGACTCCAGTTGTATTCAGCCTAAAATGCTAAAATTCAAACAAATAATTGTTTACTTTACCTAAGTTTGCAATGATATTGATTAATTGTACGAATATTGATTCGTTTATTTGGAGTTCATTACTTAGGTGATGAAGTTGACCACTATTTGGAATTTGCCACATTCCTCTTCAATCCGCCCTCCTTCTTCTTCTACAAAATGATAATCCACTACTTGGACTACCACCAACACGAATCCAAGCAATTAGCATCCAAATATACCATTGAATGCCATCCCACACAACTCAGCTTGAACCGTCTATGAGCTATTTCTCTGAGGATATGGCCTCATATTATCATCATCTCTATTATTTTCAACCCATCGCATCCTATCGATCTTATTTCCTCTAATCACCTTTATATGTGGATGGATGATATTAGTGAGGGGTATTCACGTTTTGGTTGTTAAAGCAAATCCAGCTTGAGTAAGCAGAAGATACCATCTGGCTATTGTAATAATCTTGCCTTATTCATGCTTGTTGAAAGCCTTATTTTTAATTCGCCTGAATAACTCTTTCCACAATTTGTAGCTTGACTTGTCTCTGATCCTTAATTCAAGTAATGCTTTTTGTGATCATATAATTCGGTTATCTAGCTTTTAATTAAAGGGTATAAGCGACATTGATAATAATAAATCGCATTAATGTTTTCGTCTGGATAGCAGAGACCTTGTCAAAGTAATCAGCCGTTATTTTATATCTTACAAATTAAGTTATTGAATATTTAGAAGTTAGGATTTAAGCTTACGGGAAAATGTCATAGCGATAGTTACACCGACTCTATTTGACTGATTCATATTCTTTCGCATCACAATGCCACATAGGGATGAGGCCTGTTTTTAGGATTTAATATGAACTTATTGGATAAAGTCACTCAATGACATATCAAGCCATTAGTTGACAGTTTTCTAAATATCATGATTAAATTAGACATTGTTATTGTCCTAAATTCTGGACAAACGAAGTTTTTGTGCCTCAAGTATCCCTTCAGACACTAATCTCCAAGGTCAGACTGACCGACAGCTTCCTCACTGACCATATTCACTAATGTTTAAATTCTAGCTCAAGACTTTTTGTAAATATAGAAAACTTTATATTTTTTACAAATACTTTAAAACAAACATATGTATTTTGTTGGGGTATCATAAATTGTCACTACATCATGGGGCGAGGGGGATACAGACGCAGAAGTATGGCCATAAATGCCAATTCAATCCGCACTCCTTCTTCTTCTACAACCTACTGCTCCACCACTTGGACTACCACCAAAATGAAGCCATGCAATTAGCATCCAAATATACCATCAAATTGCATCTCACACAACTCAGCTTGAACCGTCTATGAGCTATTTCTATGAGGATGTGACCTCATATTATCATCATCTCTCTTATTTTCAACCCAAAACATCGTCATCACAAAATTCGCCTCTTTCCCTACAATCAATTCCCCAACCGCTGGGTAGGGAGGTACTTAGTAACATTACCTCTACGTGATGCACGCTCGGGCAACGTATACTCATATTGCAAAAGGTCTATAAACCGGTAGTTGCCCTCCAAATTCCAACTTCCATGGCCTCACTTCATTTCATATTCCACCACTTCCCAGTACTCATTGCGCCATTTTAATCTACCTTTACTTCTGCCTCTCCTCTTATATCTGTGAATCACTCTTCTCTAACAATCGCCTCTCCACTTTTGCAATTTTCACCTATCTCCACTCTAATAAGCCCGAAGCTTACTAAAGGTCTAATGACGAATATCACAAAGAAGGCAATTTGATATTAATAACTCTTCTTTTTAAACTATTTCACTCACTCACTCATGCAAGTAAACAAGCGCACTTATTCAAACAAGCAACCAAACTCACCCATTAAAACAAAAAAGACAAACAAACAAGTTAGTATTCGAAAAGAAGCCAAACAATTACCATTTTAGAAGAGAAGGAACGTTATTTCATGTACAAGAAACAAGGGCCAAAATAGAACAATGGTAGGTGGAAGGAGAAGGGGTGGCCGTGTTGTGAATACGAATTTCATGTATTTGGAGATGAACTGGTGGCGGCTCTTATTGGACCAAATAGAGATTTGGGTAAGATAAGGATCAGAAATAAAAAATGAACCACAGTTATTCCAATGAAGACCCCCATTTAACAATATCTCATTCGGTGTGGATCGTGAATTATTGGGGTTTCGAAATTTGTCCTGTGCGTTCTCATTAAAGGCATTCAATTTATGGGGTTGGGGCTTATTCAATAAAATCAGCGCTATGAAAAGTGTTCTCGAGTTTTGAACTAACGTCACAGTCGAGTGATATTTCCCCATAATGCTATTAGTCAGATCGAAAGCAGCTCGAACCGTCTATGAGCTATTTCTATGAGGATATGGCCTCATATTATCATCATCTCTATTATTTTCAACCTATCGCATCCTATCGATCTTATTTCCTCTAATCACTTTTATATGTGGATGGATGATATTAGTGAGGGGTATTCACGTTTTGGATGTTAAAGCAACTACAGCTTGAGTAAGCAGAAGGTACCATTGGTCATTGTAATAATCTTGCCTTATTCATCCCTTATCTCATTCACTCACGCACTCACTCACTCACTTACTTACTCACACTCGCATTCACTCACTCATTCATTCAAGCAAACATTCCTCAACGCCCCTCAATGCGATGGACCTAGAACCACTCCATGAGCATTTGGATGCAATTAACCTCTCCATCGGCCACACCGTGGCTTATCGCCCACACCTCATAGAATGCAAGCCTATTACCTCTTAAGATAGTATTCGAAAAGAAGCCAAACAAATACACAAACATATAGAATATTATAAGAAAAGGGATGTTATTTCATTCACAAGAAACTCAAAAACAGAAGTAAAACAATGATAGATGGACGGAGAAGAGGTGACCGTGTTGTGGATAGGAATTGAACGTATTGGGAGATGAAGTGAAGGCGGCTCTTGCATTCACAAATGCAAATACACATGTCCAAACTCTACTCTAATCTGCTACACTCCACTCTAGTCCACTCCAATCCACTCCACGCATCTCATCTCTTCTCATCCCATCTCTACTTTACTCTACTCTACTCTATTCTCTTCAATTCAACTCACCCCCATAGATCTATGTTGGATAGACGGTAGTAACCTGTTTACATCTAGGACTATTATAAACAATTGTGGCTGGTGGTGGGGGGGGGCATATCTCTAAGACTACCTCAACCCTCGAGGCTACATCGGGTTGCCAATGATGATATAGATGAATAGGTGGATTGGTGGAGAGATGGAGAGATGGAGAGCCGGATCGTTTCTCTTCTCATTTAACACAGCCCAAGATCATCAAACACTACCAATTTGCCCTCCATCACAGCCACACTTCCCCATCCACCACGAAAACTCCCACGCCTTTGCATACTCCTTTCCGCTTTCCACGTCCTCCTATCAATAACCTTCTTCAATCGCATTCACAAATGCATATTCACATGTCCTAACTTATAATCATTTAATATATTAATTTATTTATTAATTTATTTATTTATATGAAATGGCAGGCGTTTTGATGGTTATCATTAGCCCTCTTAGTTGACTCCAGGCGAGGGAGAGAGAGAGAGGAAGGAACATCAAAGTGAAAAATGTCGGAAGGGTGGAGGTTGGGGGTGGGGGGGGGTGGGCTGGGAAACAGAAGTGTTTCAAAGACGAAAATAGAAAAGAAAGAGAAAAAGGTGAGGTGAGTACTGTGGAAGTAGTCGAATATGACTCACAGTGGGGTGATGGTAGTTTGAAGTGAGAAGTCAACTGCCGATTGATAGACTTTTAGCCGTATGAGTAAACGTTGCCCAGGGTGCACCACGTGGAGGTAAGTCTATCGTACACCCCTTGTGATGAATGTGGTGAGATGTGAAGTGAGTGGAATTCTTGATTTAGTTAAATTTTGATTTTCGTTATCTGGATGGAACTGTGCATAAGTTATGGATGACTTGGCCATCGTGGATTTGTGCTAGTTGACTGAAACGTAGCACATTGTCTGTGTGAGGTATGTGTATGCGTGTGTGCGTGCGTGTGTGTGAGTGCGTGTGTGTGTGTGTAAGTGCGTGTGTGTTCGAGTGCGTGCATGCATGGAAATGGCCTTATAGTGAAAGTGTTTTGAAAAAGATAAAAGAGACCGGAGAGGGAGCGAATAGAGGACAAAATGTGTTGGAATAAGTGTGAGGTGAGAAGTAGGTGATATTGTGGATTTATTTTACATTCTGATTTTGAAAATGGAATTGTGATGTGTGGGATATGGTGTGGTGTGGTGTGGGTGGTGAGGGTGGTGAGAAGAGAGAGGAAGGTGTGGTTATGGCTACGGTTGTTGTTATTGTTGTAGTCGTGGAGTAGTAGGTGGAATCGGACGTCGAGGAGTTGAAGTTATGAGTGGAGTAAAGGATTTTGGAGGATGAAGTGGTTGTTGGATTTGGCGAAGTGAGCGAGACTGGTGGCGCTGGTGTTGGGTGTGCTCTTGGCGCAGTTGGTAGAGGTGGTGGTGATGGTTGTGCTGGGTTGTTTGGGCAATGGTGTTGGTAGTGGTGATGGGGAGGGGGAAGGGGGTGGATTTGCGTGTGGATGCTGCACGTGTGATATTGGGAGTGGCTGAGAGGAGACTTGTGTGTGTCATTGCAGAATTCGCCCCAACATGGACATGAGCATGAGCATGAGGAAGGCGAGGTGTAGGTGGAGATGAAAGGTGAGGTGTTGGTGGAAGAGATGTGGGAGTGGGAGTGGGAGTGGGAGGAGGAGGAATAGAAGGAGGAGCATGAGGTTTGGGTGCGAAGTGTAAGGAGGATGACAAATGGTGTGAGGTGTGGTGTGGTATGCCGAGGGATGGGCAAATGGAGAACTTGTCTGAAGTGGAAGCGGAGTGAGGTGGAGTCACGGAAG